TTCACGAGTACTGCCAGTGCCTGCATGTTGAGTCCGACTTGGGCACATGGCAGGATGGGTCTTGTGGTTGAACGAGTGGTCCATCAAAAAAATTTGCAACAGACGGCTGACCGCGGAATTCTGGTGCTTCGATCATGAACGCTGGCATGAATAACGATGAATGAAATCCGCATCAAGTCCACTCGGTGAAATTTCAAGACGGGAAGAAAGAGCGAACTATCCTAATTGGTTGGCTTGATGCACAGCCTCATAATTCTTACATATACGGTGATGATCGAGGTTGCCGCCGGTGTGATGAAAAAGGTACAAGTCAATTTCGACCGGGGTACGAATCAAACTCTGATTTCTCCAAACTACATGAGACGCTGGTATTCCCTCTCCCTGAAACTCAACCAATATGCTCTAAGAAGGTTGTCATTTGTCACGTATCCAAAGATAAGCGAAACGACTTGGGCGCACCTATTGCATACTAGGTTCACCCTGGAAGTAGCCCCACTCCCCGTAAAAGGGCGCTACAGTGGCGGGTTGCGCTTGAACCGCGGAGGCTGTCAGGCTACATTGGACTCCCCGTTTCGCGCACAGTGCGCAGGGCTGAGCAGGACGGTCCTTGTCGTATTCGCACTTTGATGCTCATGATTAGCTAGACTGCAAGCGATGCAAGGAACCAAAAGTTGCCAACTCTTTTTCTAGCGTTGCGACACGCCTCGCACGCATGAGTCGCCTTTGGACGCATCACGATAGGCTTGGATGAATTTCCTTCCATATTGGCAGTAAGTTGAGTGTGTAGGTGGTGTGTTCGCGTATTTCGTTAGGTTAGATTTAATGAGTTCGCTGGGATTTTATACCAGGGACGCTGCAGTCATCTGCTGACTCGGGAAATTGATGCCAAAGAAAGCAAAGAACACGACTTATCATGCCGCAAATAGAGGAAATAGCTACCAAGATCAGTTGCCAGCGGAGCATGAGACACTTGAGAATGGTAGCCTGTCCCCGGAACGGGTGGAATATACTTCCGGTATCGGTCTCCTAAAAACAGGATGCCGATCTGTTTGCATGTAACCTGTTTCTCATTGAAGATTAGCGTATATCGATCCACACGGCTGCAGCCTGTTCATCAAGTAACCCCATCACGACCCTGTCAGAACTGGTTTGATGTGCGTAAACGCTGCCTTGGGATATGCCACCAAGTTTACGAAGACAACTTAATTTAAAGTGGTGACCGTGTTCAACGGACATCTACGATGCATCTCCAGGAATCAAAATCTCTACTATTACAACGCGATGCAACGCACGTGGGGTTAATTCTATAGCGCCAAATAATCTCGAACTTCTTCCTCGCTGAGTTTGCGGAAAGTTGGCTTAGGCCGGCCTGTTTCACCACCGATTTTCCCAGCTTCGAGCTCCTCGAGTGTTGGGACAGTAACAACTCCAATTTCTATCGTCTTCTCGGTCATCTGACCCTCAAAGCCCTCTTTCAACGTCAACAGAGCAGTGTGAATTGCGTCCTCCAAACTTATGTCGTCGTTGTATCTATAAATGATCGCGAACTCAGCGGAAGAGAAATAGATGCGCCACATAAGCCTCACCGCTTCTCCAAAAACGTTTTGGCATTGACCATGTTTTTCCCAATAGCACTGGCTTTCCACGCCCAGAAAGATCCTGAAGGATCAACCTGGTATAAACTTGGGCCACGGTTGATGTCCCATCCTGCGACAAGTAATGACACGCCGAAAGGTCGGACTCCTCTAGAAAAGAGAATTAAAAACACGCGTGATCCTTTGTACATACAACCACGAGGTGTATCTTCTTACCCAGATTGAGTTGCCTTCTGCATAACAGTGGCGATCTCCTGCGTCAAGACCTTCGTGGGTGGATACTCTCCGTATATTTTCCAATATGCTTGCGCACTCTTTCGTGCCCTTGCGATCAAAACGCGGAAGTCAGGACCCATGCCTGAATACACGATCCCAATATTTGGGCACACTACTGCCACTTTCTCGATCATAGAGTCGTCTATTAGAATGGAGGACGACTTCTTCTCAGTAGCGATGACAATTCCATTGGACGCTGCGAGGCAAAATCAGCTTGTGATATGGAACGAGAGTAGACAAAGCACCTTTAATGCCGAGACTTGTTGTTCCCTGAGAGACAGCAGCCAACGCATGTTCGATCTGAACGAGTTTACCACTTGGCGAGAATACTGTAAGGGAGTAGCTAACCACAAAATGTAAGAGAAGCAGCGAGATTAGCGGAAGGGAATATGAACCTGTAAGCGCCCCCATCCGCGTTGGCCATTATGATATGTCAGAATGTGTATAGCAGATGAAGAATGACTTTGATGTGGGAGATGATGATACAGTTGAAACCTGAAGAACGCGTTATGATACTGCTACTGGTACACGCGTCGTTCAGCCTCAGAATTCAACAGACACAAACAACCACATGGAATTTCAGCTGACCTATATTAATATCGACAACTTACAAGTACTTATTGACCATCATTACCTTTACTCTAGTTCTTCTGCAGGTCACGTTCTATCTACCTTCCAGCTGCTTTTACCTTTAAAAATAAAGGTGCATGGTAACCGGTGCACGAGGGCTGGAAGCTTCGCTCATTGATCACTAACGTACTGTCACGTCTCTTTCAAATTGTGCATAAGTTACCTCAGAATAAATATTGTGGGTCCACCGTCGAGGCCTTCACATGCCCTAGCATAGTAAATATGTTATTTAACCATTTGATACTTGTGTTTGATGAGATCCTTATAGATTCAAAGTGTTCGAATGCACAAAAACGTATTAGGGTCTAGCAGTGTGGTTATCTGTATTCCTGCGCAAGATCCTCAGTGTTCTGAATGATGTTCTGAACGACACAAAAGCAGGCTATGCAGCCGTTATACTGGTATTGACATAACAATTTATAAAATATAGCGCTGTATCAGCTTGGGTATGAACATTCCCGCTCACCGTGACTAAAGTGCCCAGGTAAATGCATAGCTATTGTTGAAATTACTCTTTGCGCGAACCTCACTGGATCCATGAATATCTGGAAGTAGGAAACCACCAGGGTAGCGGGAATGATGGGAATCGTGCTGGTAAAAAGTATCGCGGGGCTGGGGAGGATCACGACCGAAAATTGGAGCACTGATTCAGGACCACACGATGAAGAGTACCGGAGGGTCGCGAGAATTACCACGGGAAGGATACGAGGGTCGTGGAGAGGCTTGCGAGGGTCGGGGGATATTGTCAGCTCGAGCTCGAAAATCAGTTGCAATCTGTCAACAGATATTGATGTTGGTCAGGTGTGAGGTTGTTAGAACAGACTCACACCAACGATTGCTCTGGTGAGCAAGATGGGAGGGATGAATACACTCAGTGACAACTTGCTGTTCGGTACCGTGCAAGGCTGGGAGTGGCAGGGGTACTAGCCAAACAAATGCCATTTTCGTTGAGCTGATCACTCTACTAGTACTACTATGAAGACTAATGTGAATGAATGATATATATTGAATTTAGGTTTATTATGCACATGCGGGCACCTTCTGGACCATGGTAGACCAGACCATGTCTTCGAAGCCGTTGAAATCCAGAAAATCAACACATCTGAAAGGCGGTTCGTATCATAGGTCCAGAAGTGGCCCGGGCTAAAACATGACCCTGAGGTAACACGCAATGCGTGTAGGCTTTACGGACTTACTGGAACAGTACTAGCGAGCCCGATGTAGGACTCGGCCTCAGTCCTTCTGCCCGTCTCGTGACTACAGTGAGCCAAATTCATGTTTGCACGTATGTAATACAATGTATCGACTATCTTGCCTGAGTCCACCTCGCATATCTCATATTATCTCAGTTGGGCTGATCGCAGAATTGGGATTAATGACACATAGACATCACACTTCGCCCGGCATCTTACTTTTATTCGCTAACCTTTAAGGGTGTTGTGCGTAGGTAGGGTTGCTATTAGTAGAGGTGCGTCAATATTTAGCAACGGGTTTGATGTCAAACAATCGTACCTTGTGGAAGGTGACCTCAGGGAAGAGCACCTTGGCCTCATCATTGGCAACGGAAGGGTGGACAATGACGTCTTCACCCTTGTTCCAGTTGACTGGCGTGGTTATGCGGTGTTTATCGCCAAGCTGCAAAGCTAAATAGGCTGAGTGAGTATGTGCCAAATAGTCATGCCATGATGCTCACAGTCTACGACACTGGAAACAGTTATTCATGTCAGGTTGCGACTCCAAAGGTTTGACAGACTCACCGGAGAATCTCATCAAAGTTTCGTCCGGTAGAAGCCGGATAAGCAATGGTCAAGCGAATGACTTTCTTGGGATCAATCACGAATACAGTACGGATCTTCAAGTGGGTTAATTACGATAAAGACTCAACTGATGTTCGAGCGTACCGTAAAGGGAAGACCCTTTGCATCACGGTTAGTCGCATCTTGCTCATCAAGCATATTATAGAGGGTGGAAATTTTCCGGTCCTCGTCGGCAATCTACACTGTAATATTAAAGACTGTATCGATCAGAATATAGCTATACGTGCGATGGGGAACTCCACGTTGGTTGGTCCGTATCTCGCGCCAAAGTCGTTGATATCTTCGACCCACTTGCTGTGGTCTTTGAGGCCATTGGCAGAAATTCCAATGAGTTTAACATTGCGCTTAGCAAAGTCACCAGCGCGGCGAGCGACCTCGCCGAGCTCAGTGGTGCAAACGGGTGTAAAGTCTCCGGGATGCGAGAAGAGAATGGCCTAGGTGGCTACTTGTCAATATCCCGAGGTTCATCCCCCACGAGATTCGCTCACCCAAGAGTTACCGATCCATTCGTGGAACTTGATAGGTCCAGCAGTAGTCTCTGCTTCAAAATCAGGGGCGATGTTTCCGAGGCGAAGGGAGGGCATTGCTGATAAAAGGACCGCGTAGATCAAGATTCAAAACCCCTTTATAATATGGGGGGAGATTGCGTCTTAAATTCCCACGGCTGAGAACAGTGAGCTAAGATGATGAAAGGATGGCGGTGGCATTGCAGTGGCATATGATGAATATATCACCCTATCATGAGCGCGATAAAAGTGGATTCTGACTCTTGAGTGCCTGACCTAATACACACATGACCATATCAGAAGGGTCCCATGATGCGAATCCTTTTACTAGTAAAAAGCTATAGCATGTAAAAGACTGTGGGGGTGGCGCTCCTGTTGCACCTGCAGTATCTTATCGATATCTTCGTCGATATCCTGGGAGATTTCGATCTAAAATTTCGCGACAAATGAGTATAGAACCATGATCCGTGGAAAGATACAAAAACAAACGTACTGCAGCGGCCAAATCCAGCATCGCCTTTCCAGCGATGAGCGCTTCCTCGTGGTTATCTTTGATCTCGATATTGATGATATGAACGGGCTTATTGAACTCGCCACCGCGACTGAGCAAGTCTGGGAGAACATATCAGTGAGCTACGAATTTAAAAACCGGTGCCAACGGCACCTACCATCACAAACAGCATCAAAGCAACGTTCTTCACATGTAATAACTACGTCTGCGACCGTCTTGCTATCCTGCCACCGTTCTGGAGCTAGCTTTATCCGCCTATTACGATCAAGCATCTGCAGAAGTCCGTTTGCGGTGTACCTGGAATGAATTCATCAGACTCAGGCCATAAGGCGATACAGCGGACTTGCAATTTCGCGTCTTTCGCATTGAGTTCTTCGTATATTGAGTTATATGGTGTACCAAACGAATAAATATTAGGCTTGTCTATTGATGGTCCAGGTAGGCGCACGGCAGAGCCCGTTCCATAAGAAATCACTCGGTACCCGGCCTTCCTTCATGTTTTTGGCATTAGATGAAATGAATGATGTTAAAAACGTGTTGTGATACGGACTGCAAGACATGATGACCTTCCATGGAACGGTTCTGTAAACATCATGTAAGACTTTTTCGTGATTGTTGCTAAGAACGCAAACCCACTTGATTACTTGCACACACGACGCAAAAGAGTGGTCTAGGTTTGTATGCAGAAGATCCTGCATTGTCTGCAGGAGCCGAGGGGCCAGCGATGGCGTTCTCGGAAGCTGTATCGACTTGCTGCACGAGAACATTGGGAATCATGGACTGTGAAGCCATATATGCTCCGTTTGCAGTCCATTGTGTCGCGCCTTGTAGTGACCCACTTTGTTGTTGGGGCGAGGGAGTGGGCAAAGCAGATGGTCCTCGCTGCAAACGCGGGTCCACGCGTGCCAAGCGCGGATCACGAGCTCGACGTGGGTCCATGGGTAGTTCTGGACACGATATTGTTAGCCTTGGTATGATGTTAGTTGACTGGCAGTAACAGCGTCAGCAGTATCTAGAACACTTGCTAGTCTCCAACTCGACCCAGCAACTTTAATGGGTTGTGCGGGTCGATGAAGATTCCACTCTGAATCATCATAGCGTACTAAACATGCAATATTTGCTCACCTTCCGGGGTTTGGCTAGGTGAAATGGCGACTAGGTCGTGTACGATACAGAAAGGTCACAAAAACAATAACAAACACATCGGGGTACAAGGTCACCGGTCACCGGTCACGCGCATGCTTTACGCCTCATAAGTATCTGCTTGAGAATCTGCCGATGTGGTAGGCTTGGGCTTTGTCAGATGTGCATGGATCGTCGCTGGTATCACAATGTCGCCGTGTCGCCGTGCGTCGTAAATGTATTCGAGCTGGGACGTCACACTCACTCTTGAACTTGCAGGACACCTCTAATTTCCGTGATGGATTGCGTATCATGTATTCGCGAACCCACGGAAGACGATATTCTTTTGATCCATCAGACAACGATGGCTGATGAGGAGGCAATCCAGGAATTGTACAGCGAAATGACCTTACTGTATTCTGTTCTGGAGCGCCTCCGCTTGCAGAAGGACAAGCACCGGGAAAATATACGTCGGGCCCGCTCATTGTTAACTCTTGCTCGCCGACTACCTCCTGAGCTACTAGCTCGCATATTTGAGATATGTGCTAAAAGCGGTTGGACGCGTGCGCCTGTGGTTGTTTCTCAAGTATGCTCAGCTTGGAGGAAAGCCGCAGCATTTCCTCATGTATGGTCCTATCTCTTCCTTGACTTGAGATCGGGGAATCCGACCGGCAAAGTGGTGTTTTGGTTGAGTAGAGTTCAACACGCGCCATTGCATATAACTTTGGATATCCCTCTCGAGTCACCATCATTGGAGGAGGTTTTGAGCTTACTCATTCCTCGCTCCAAGCAATGGCACACCCTTATCATCAAATCTGTAGACTCCACAACAATGAACTACGTCCTTCGCCGCTGCAATTTCCCGTTGCCTGATTTAAGGCAACTCGATGTTATCACTGAAATGGAGGGATCTCAGGGAGGTCCTGTGAATATGTCATCTCTTCAAGACGCTTCGCGTCTATCTCGATTGCTCATCGAACAACCGAATCTTCCACAATGGAACAACTTTATGAAAGTCACGAAACTGCACATTGTACTCTCCTCTTCAACGTTGTTCGTACCCTCCATAAATGCCACCGACTGGATCGAAATGTTGCATGCCTTACCAGAGTTAAGGGACCTCACTCTGGAGCTCTCTAAACCAGGAACACGCACATACAATGATATCCAACGTGCCGTGGATCTTCCTCATCTGGAATCACTGACACTCCACGTCTCTCCTGAAGTGAACAGAATCCTTTTGACAATGCGTACACCTGCATTGCGTCAGCTCCACCTGCGCTGCTCATCCGACCCTCTCGCACGCCCCCACATGCCTTCTGGCGCTCATTTGTGCCAGTTTCTTGAGTCTTCCCCTTGTCTTCAGCTTCTAGAACTCTATGATGTTGACGTGCAGCGCATCGACTTCGTGCGATGTTTCGAGCTCCTTCCGAAACTAGAGGAACTTCGTCTGCACGACAGTGACATTGCTGATGAACAACTGCGGCTGCTACACGGGGATACCGGGCATTGCCCAAACCTTGCTCGTCTTGACTTCCGTTGGTGCAATTATCTAACTGGAAGTGCGCTCGTGGACCTTACAAAGAGCCGGCTGCCACCAAACGAAAGCGAGGATCGAGGTTCACCCACAATGCCACAAACGAGGCAGATTAATGAAGTGGCTGTTATCAACTGCCTACACGTCAAAGAACAGGATGTTCTTGATCTAGCGGAAATGACACATTGTAGGGTCCTGATAAGGTCGGACGAAGATCACTGTTGTGAGCATACGGTCTCGGTCTCTTGAAAAGTATACTGACGTGATCATCAGACAGAAGGGGTTGCTGCAACAACGAGAGGTATAGGCAACGACTGCGACTACGCCACAACAATAAACTACCGAAACGAGTTATCCTCTGATCATGGATGGAACTTCGCTTCGAGAGTTTGTACAATCGGGCTAGAATACTAAAATTTAGATTGCAAATATACAATGTAATACCAATACAAGTACTGTTGGTCTCAAACTATAGCAAGCAGTAGTAGCCAGTGTACCATTCGCCTCAAACAAGGACCAGTCTGACATCAATATTCCACGCGTTTGAAAACCTCTTCCGTCAAAGCTGCAAGTAAAAGCAGCGGTACTGAGGTCTATATAACTTTGTCGTGGTTGATAAAAAAGAAAACTAGGCTGTTTCCACGCTTTATATGACCTTGGCACGTGACTCTCGGCAACATGCGGCCACTGCGTTGGTCAACGTTGCAATTGTGCTCATCTTCCGTCACCGTCACCCATTAGTACTGTCGTTGTACAGCGATTATTTATGGGTTTCATCGACCGTACCACAGACTTCAAAGATGTCCTTCAAGCGAAAGGCGCTGTCGCACCAGGCAAACGACGCAAGGCCTCATATGATGTCCCTAACGTGAATGTATTTGGAAAACAATATTTAGAGGAAGCCTATACGATTGTATGTCGCAACAATGTGTCGGACGTCGAGGTTATCTTCTAAACTAATTGCCCAGCTCAACCATATTGGCACTCTCACGCGTATGCTTTCTAGCATACGGAAGCCTTACCTGAGTGTAGACACACATGCCGTGCCACTCTCGCGACATGGTTCCCTTGCCATCGATCTGAGCGACTCTACAAAATCGTGGTCGGGAATACGTTACCTCACAGACGAGGAGCGGGACCAGGTTGACCTGCAGGCACGTGTCATTCTCAGTAGGTGCGCAGACAGAGTCAAGGAAATGGAGACACTCGAAAAGCGTGCGGTCTGTTTCTTGCCGTTGTTCTTGAAACGACCACTGAAGATTAATTGTTTTCTACAGGTCGTGCTGAGCTCGCTGCAAGTAACGTGAATCCCTTGACACGCTTCCTGCCCGCCCGTCTGAAGAGCAACAACTCAACAATACTTTCGGATTTCACAGCGGCGCACCACTCCAGTATAACGTGGTATCTCAGCAGGCGTCTTACAGAAGCCAGCCAGAATCAAAAAGAAATGCAGGAAGAACGTGTTAAGCGTCAACTTGAACGCACGCGAACTCTAGGATCCAATGCAACGCAAGAGGCAATGGATATCGTCTCCAAGGGACCTGTGCAACATAAACAACCAATTGCTGGAGGGGGCGACAGCTGGTTGGGAGGTGCTTCATCAGCACTCGTCTCAGGGATCGCCGCTACCATCGGGAGCGGCCGCCCTGTTACTCAACCGAGAACACTTACTCCCGCCTCATCATTAGGTGAACTGGATGGAGATGACGATGATATTGAGCTTTCGCAGTCTCAGATACTTCAATTCGAGACGGAGAATGCAAATATCCTCCGATCCGTCCAGGACACGCTCGAGTCCGTACAACAAGCCGAAGCACGATTGATGGATATCAGTAACCTTCAAATGGAACTGATGATGCATCTTACACAGCAAACGGAGCTGACTGACCAACTATACGAGGACGCGATTGCGACGACATCTACCGTAGAAAAGGGCAACGTGCAGCTGAGAGAGGCACGTAGACGTGCCAAGGACAGTCGAATATTTATACTTGTTTTCCTGATTGGAGCCAGCTTCTCCTTACTTTTCCTCCACTTTTACTAGCGACTTATTATTCGTGCATGCATGATATTCTATAGTTAGAGATGTGTAGTGACCATAAAGCTAGCTTAGTTCGGTGTTCCGTAATTGATTACATTTCACTACAGATTCCACTGCAGTAAGCTCACCAAGGGAGTGGGTGTTAAACTCTACGGAGAACTCAAAGAGTCAGATCCCAACAAAGGCGCTTCCTCTGCTGCCTCGAGTGCCTCTGCAGCGAGTTCGTCACGCTCCGACGGGCTGTCATGTAGACGCTTGATCTCCTTCTGCATGAGATGATAGACCAGCCTGTATAGGGTAAGTAGTCTGCTATTGATAGTGGTGACCTAGACACGAACGAGCTGGCTAAAACAGATATCGAGATACCGCCGACAACTAGAAGGCCGTTGACAATTTTGGTTTCTGTACGCCACGAATCCATGCATTAATGAAAGCGGAATGTCATGACATTTATTCTTACGGGTATCCATATGATTTCTCTGTTCGCCGTCTGAGAGTCTAGCAATACGAGATCCGACGAACACGTAAACCAGAACCTTCGGGAGGATAAACCAAGTCGCCATGAAGAACTGGAACAATGACACCGGCGCTATGCTCTAATAAGGAGTTAGATCCAAACCAGCAAACAACTCGAAAAACTTACTGCGAATAATGAGTTTGACCAAGCCCATGGTGGAAATGAAGAAACACGGATGAGAATAATCAAGGGCATGCCTCTTGATCGCTGTAGATGTCTTCTGGTAAGCAAGTATGCCGAAGCTAATGAACACACTGACTATCACAGCTTCTAGAGCCTGCCATTTCTCATTAGTGGAAGTCCACGAACGCAGCCTCTTGCTGAACATGATCCGAAGAGTAACAAAAACTATTGCAGAGCCTGCCAGTGATCCAAATGCTGCAGGGAAAAAGCCTCGCAAACCGTACGTGAAACCGAACAAGTTGAGGAGCGTAGTATGTCCAATAAAGGGGGGGAAGGATACAGCGACTGAGGGGAATTAGTATGTTTGAATTCCTTGAATGAAAGTGCACTTACTCATGATAACGATAAGAATTGTGTACCCATAAGGAAGATGTCGGATGTCTTGAGCGAAATCGTACGTGAATTGAGCAATGCGAGCCGGAGTGACCACAACAATAAATGCGGCTGAGCAGAGATAGAAGAATAGGATGAACCATATCAAAGCCTGCAGCAACATCGTAAGTTGACAAGAGAACACTACATTGCAGTCTGATATCACCTTTCCAACTAGACTGAGCTTTTGATATCTCGAGCTTGTTAATTGTAGGAGGCCCTTGAAAAAACGAACCCCACTCGTGAGTGCGACTAACATGTTTGAGCGAAAGAAGAATTCGGTGATTGCAGGGTTGTGTCAGGCAGGAACAGAGGGGATGACTACTACGTATTCCACGATCGACCCGAGTAAAGCATAGTACCAAATATGGCAAAGCAGGTTGGGCCGCGGATGTTTACTAATTGT